GCCCAGCCGCCGACTGCGCCGCGAGGAGGGCGTCACGCGCCACCTCGAGCGCCGCGGTGCGGGCTCCGAATGCCGCCGACATCGGACACGCTGCGGCGTAACACAGGGGGCGCCTGCGAAGCGAGCTCTTGCCCAAGCGGCTGAGGAGGAAGGGGAGGAGGAGGAGGAGGAGGAGGAGGAGGAGGAGGAGGAGGAGGAGGAGGAGGAGGAGGCGAAGGAGGAGGGAGGAGGAGGAGGAGGAGGCGGAGGAGAAGTAAGGAGGAGGAGGTGGGCGGAGGAGGAGGAGATTTTTTGTTGACAGGGCCTCGGGGTTAATGCCCTCCAGGGCACAAGGCGCTAGCTCCCGCGAACAAGCGCCTCTGCTGTACGAGACTGCCGCCACAGGCTGCCTCCTTTGAGGTCCGCAACAGCAGTCCGTCGGAGCCCAGGGGAAAAACACGCGGAACCACTCCAGCACCGCGAGGAAAAGGAGGAGCAGCGGCAGCAGCACCTCGAAGAAAAAGGAGAGGCCGAACGGGAGCATCATGGGGGCAGGAGCCGCCGCGCCCGCTCGCGCACGTCCTCGACGGCGGTGCGGTCCGTCGCGACGAACTGCGACGAATGGGAGCCCAGGCGAGCAGCACGAGCGCGACCGTCGAGCTGCACGGCGGCGCCCGCAGCCCCAAGCACGGTGCCTGGCGGCGCCTCGGGCGCCGCGGGATCCGCCGCCAAGGGAGCACCCGCCAGGCGGTCTCCAGGCGGCCTGCCAGCGGGAGCGGACGCACCTCCGCCACCAGCAGCACCCGCAGCAGCGGCGGTGGGCGGCGCACGGGACAGGCCATTGGCCCAGCCGTCGTTGAGGGAGACGTCGACGTCGCCGCCGTCCCCGAGAGGGAGGGCGGCCGCCCCCGCGCCAGGGCCCCCCGCCCGCGCTCCAGCAGCCCACGCCCCGCCACCCACCTCCGCGGGCCGCTCCACGTCCTTGCCGTCGCCGTCGTCCTGCTCGCCCGCGGGAGGGCCCGAGCCGCGCCGCGCGCGCCCGCGAGGTCGCTGGCGCCTCAGAGGGGGCGCCACAACCTGGGGCGTCGCGGGCGGCTTCGGCACCGCGGCGGCGCGGAGCTCGGCGACGGCCGCGCGGAGCAGTCCTTCAGCGGCTCGCAGCATGCGCACCCCACTGCTGGAGTGGCCCGCCTTGAGGCCGCTGGCCGCGTGCGCCGCGAGGAGCGCCCCGCCGGCGGCCTCCTCAGCAGCCCGGGCCCCGGAGACCGGCTCCATGGCTGCCCTTCCTCAGCCTCCACCTGGCGCAAGCGCCAGGCGGGCGGGTCAGTGCGGGCACGCGGCCGAGCGTCGGGAGGCAGGGGCGCGCGCGGCAGGGCCAGCGGCACGCCTGGGCCAGTACGCCGACTCGGAGGAGGAGGAGAGAGGAGGAAGGAGGAGGAGGAGGAGGAGGAGGAGGAGGAGGAGGAGGAGGGCGGAGGAGGAGGAGAGAGGAGGAAGGAGGAGGGAGGATGAGGATGAGGAGGAGGGAGAAGGATGGGAGGCATTACGCACGTGACGTCCCTCTGGGCGCTGCCCCATAAAGGGTCGCCACGCAGAGGGGTTCGCTGGTACGTAAAAACGGGTGTGCCGCAGTCAGCTGCATCGGGTATCGGTGGTACCCTCCATCCGGGTGGAGTAAGATGGTCGCCCTACCCAACAGTTGAGGAGGGCCAATATCGGCGGCCTTCCTCGTCCTCCTCCTCCTCCTCTTCCTCCCTCCTCCTCCTCCCTCCTCAGTCCTCCCTCCTCGGTCCTCCCTGATCCTGGTCTCTGTTGCTGCGCGGATGCTGTTCGTGCACCCCTTTTCCTTCAAAAAACAACTCCTGCACGTCGCGGCCGCAGACGTGTCGGTAGGGCGGGCTTGGCGTTCCCCCTGACACGTCCTCACCATTTATGAGTCACCAGCTCGAAGATCGCACACGTCGCGTCATGTACACTTGAAAAGGATAGAAGATAGAGCATAGGCCGTTTTCAAAATGAAGAGATCGCCTTAGCGCCGCACGTATTCGTCTTCAAAAATGCAGCAGGTTCAAACGGGAGACTCCTTCCTTTTCAAGTTGGGATCCCGCGTTAGCGCCGCGCACATTCGTCTTACAAACTTGCAACAGGTGCAAGGATGGAAGGCATCTCCATTTCAACATGGGGCCCTCGCCGTAGCGCCGTGCACATTCGTCTTAATAACATGTTGCGGCAATGTAAGAAATGGAGGGGTCATGTTCGCAAAATGGGGCACTCGCTGGAGACGTCTTTCAAGGTCAGACGCGTGCAGTATTGTTTACATTGGGAGCAATGGTTTTATCAAAACTAGGCTCTCGCCGAATTATTGGAATTCCTTCTTATCCGGTGCAAGGATGCAGGACAGCTCGTTTTCAAAACGAGCCCCTCGCCTGAATTGCAAGCCGAGATGGCTGTGGCTGTCAAGAGGGTGCTTCTCGCAGTGAGAGCAAGGAGACCTGTATGGACTTATCAAGGGAAGACTTGGGACGGTATGGTGTACTGCAGCATCGGCGACGCATTCTGCGTTGACTATGTCCCTCTCCCTCCTCCTCCTCCTCCTCCTCCTCCTCCTCCTCCTCCTCCTCATCATCATCATCATCATCATCATCCCTTCCCCCCACTCGAATCCTCCCCAGGAGCTTAGTGGGCCCTGGAAAAGAACAGGGCCGTTTTTCTACCGGTTCCGCTTTGCCGTTTTTGTTGCCAATTCCGACGCCGTTGTTTTACCGGTTCCGTCGCCGTTTTTAGACCGGTTCCAGCTACAATTCCAATCCTGGAGCCGTTTTTGTTGCCGTTTCTGGTCGCCGTCTTTTTGCCGCTTCCATTCTCAAGGGGCATTCTTATGGAAACGGTGAAAAAACGGCCCTGCCGTTCCCGGGGCCCACAACTTGTCGTCGCTCGGACGTCCATTTCCCGTGCACTTTTCGATATCGTGGCTGTTTTTTGTTGCTCGAGGGTCCAGGATGGTCCTCGATGGCTCTCGCCAAGAAAAAAAAGGCACACGTCCGAGCGATGCCAAGACAAAGCCCAGCAGCAATGTTCGGGGATCTTCTGACCCGGGTGAATCCAGACCCGGGTCAGCAGAAAACCAAAAACTGCAATGCAGGAAAAAAAAACTGCAACGCAGGTCTTCGCAAACCCGGGTCAGCCAATATGTGCGGCCGCCTCGCGGCCACGAGCGGCTCGCTAACCCGGGTCAGCCAGAGGGGGTCTTCGCAGGATCCTGCAGGATCCGGTGCCGTGGCTGACCCCCGTTTGCACTGACCCCCGTCTCAAGGCTCCCGAAGTGTAACAGTCCCCCTTCTCCGGTGCACGGCATCAAGCGCGCAGCCCCACTGCCCGCGAGGCCCTCCCCCGGGCGACGGGGGCGGGCTCCCGGTTTCAGGAGCCCCGGGGGCCGAGGCAGACGAGGAGGCCCCCAGGAGAAGGAGGGGGAGGAGGAGGAGGAGGAGGAGGAGGAGGAGGAGGGGGAGGGGGAGGAGGAGGAGGAGGAGGAGGAGGAGGAGGAGGACGATAATGACCCCCAAGAGCAGGACAGTATGCCACAGCCCGACGTGCTGCCAGGGATCGAGGGAACAGCTTCCGGGGCCTCGGACAACAATGGCGCAATGCCCCGTCCTCCTCGCCCTCGCCGTCCAGCCCTCGTCCTCGTCGTCGTCCTCCCTGGATATCGTCGCTGCCCTCTCCCCCACGTCTCTGCCTCCTCGGGAATCCCTCTCCGCCATCCCTCTTCATCCACTGTGCCATCCTGCTCGTCCCTCGGCCTTCCTAGTCCGTCCTCCTCCTCCTCCTCCTCCTCCTCCTCACCCTCCTCCTCTTCCTCCTCCGCGCACTACCAGCCTCTCTCTCTCTCTCCCTCTCTCCCCCTCCTGCGCCCCAGCCCCTCATCGTCCCGAATTCCTTTTCCTTATAAGTAACTTCTCCCAGTCGCACCCCGAGGCCAATTTTTCAGGGCCGCCTGAGAAGTCCTCACCAGAGCTGGCAACTATTTCACAGATGGAGGGCGGGTGGTTTTCAAAATGTGGCTCTCGCCTTCGCGCCGCGCACATTCGTTTGAAACATTCGCAAGAGCTTCACGGATTGAGGGCGGGTGGTTTTCAAAATGTGGCTCTCGCCTTCGCGCCGCGCACATTCGTTTAAATAAACTGCAAGAGCTTCACGGATTGAGGGCGGGTGGTGTTCAAAATGTGGCTCTCGCCGTAGCGCCGCGCACATTCGTTTGAAACATTCGCAAGAGCTTCACGATTGAGAGAAGGTGGTTTTCAAAATGTGGCTCTCGCCTTCGCGCCGCGAACATTCGTTTAAAAAATTCGCAAGAGCTTCACGTATTGAGGGCGGGTGGTGTTCAAAATGTGGCTCTCGCCGTAGCGCCGCGCACATTCGTTTCAAACAATTGCAAGAGTTTCACGGATTCCAATGATCACGCGGGCGCAACAGTTATGTTGTTTCGCGGTGTTGAAATCCTAAAACTAGCGTTTTGGCACGATTCCAAATCGTCCGGACGCAGCAGTCAAGTTGGCCCGTGGCGTGGAAATCCTGGGAAACAATGTTCTGGCATGATTCAAGGTGTTCAAACGGTTATCGTCCAACGAGGCAGTTCCCTCTATGGGAATGAACCGTTGTAGGGGCCCATGAAGAGGGAGCTTGGAGGGAGGGTGAACTCCAAGCTCGTTAATGGCTCGTGGCTTTGCACTTGTCCTCCGCCATCTCCTCATCCCCCCTTGCCGTCATTCACCCTCCTCCTCCTCCCATCCTCAGCCCCTCCGCCTCCTCTCACCCTCCACCCTTCCTCTCCTCATCCTCCCCCCCTGTTGTAGGGGTATAGGGGTAGGAGAAAGAGGAGTTGGAGGAGGAGGAGGGGGAGGAAGAGGAGGAGGAGGAGAAGGAGGAGGAGGAGGAGGAGGAGGAGGAGGAGGTGTCGTTCCCCCCCTTTCTGCCTCCCCGCATCCTCACCCCTTGCCCCAGCCACGTCTGCGGGCGGACTCCTGTCTCGAGCTTTGAGTAGAGGGTCTTCCCGGTTTTGGCGTCAGTGACCTGCTTGTGGGGGAACGGCCAGGGTGAGGGAGGAGGGGGGGCAAGATGCGCAAAGAGCAAGAAGTGAAGGAGGGATGGAGGGAAGGTAACGGAGGTGGAGGCGGAGGAGGGACGGAGGAGAAGGGTTGATGAAGAGGGGGGGGCACTGGACAAGGAGGAGGACGACGACGATGACGGTGGGAGAAAGGATGACAAGATGAGGAGAAGGAAAACGCCGAGGGGATGGGGAAGGAGGGGAGAAAGAGGAGCTATGGGAGAAGGAGGAGGAGGAGGATAAGAAGGGAAGGAGGGGGGGGCATGACATGCCAAAAGGCGCCGCCGTATACCCTTTCAAAAAGAAGGAGGGGGGAAGAGGATCAGGAGATCGACGGTGAGAGCGATATACCTGTGTATAAATTCTATATACACGGAGAGAGAGAGAGAGGGAGAGAGAGAGAGAGAGAGAACGAGAGAGAGAGAGAGTGGGAGCGAGAGAGAGAGAGACATCGAGAGTGAGAGTGAGAGCGAGAGGGAGAGAGAGAGAGAGAGACAATAGCACTTGTTGGCCGCACATCAGCTACCCCTCTTGGCAAGCCTTGTAGAATAATGGCAGTCCGTTACGGTTTCTGGGCGATGCCTTCATGCTGCCTTGTGACTCTGGGACATGCTAACCATCCCGCTGACCAAATCGTTAGCAATTCGGCTCGCGGCATCCATGCATCGTCCGTCTCCCTGCCCACATGACTGTCACCTCGTGCGTGGCACCGGTGTGATAGGCTGCGGCAGATTCTGGGTACCCGGATCATTCGCACCTCATCCGGTGGCAACTCATGGGAGCCTTCCATACCATCTTGCCGGCTCTTGCGAATCGACGCTGGTCGACGCTAACCGACGCTACGTCGGCGCTATCTCAACGACGCCCAGACGCGAATCGACGCTCAAGGCGGAATTGCGAGGGCACACCAGGCTCCCACGATGTGCTGCCGAACGTGAAGCATTGGCACCTCACGCGGAACAGCGTGTACGCTTGTGGATGCCATGACAATGGACACTCTAACAGTCCTATCCTTGAAATAAAAAGGTGTTTCAAGTCTGTAAGGCATGTTCTACCATGTGTCAAGCATGTTTTTTCTGATAGTAAGAACGTGTTTGAAACATGGTTCAGACATCCGGGAACTGTTTGGCAGCACGCTTCCTTTCCATTGATCGTCCCCCACAAGTCTACGCACCTTCAGTGGCACCTCTGGCCGCAGACCAGCATGCGGCACTCGATCTCAAGTCGCCGTCGCCTACAGGGCCAAGGTCCCGGCCGGTGCGGGTCCCGACACCACCCACCCCCGGCTGCACGCTCCGAGGGCCGTCCCCCGCTGCATGGTGGCCCCCTCGGGAGCCACGCCTGCAGAGGCGCGCACTCGAGAAGCCCACTGCAGGACATCGAGGCTTCGGGCTCGTGGAGCCCTTCTCGAGCATGCCTCTCGTAGAGACCAACGCGCGCGACGTCTCTCCCACGCCCGCATGGGCCTGGACACTGTGGAGGAGGAGGAGGAGGAGGAGGAGCGAGGGAGGAGGTGGGAGGGAGGGAGGAAGGGAGGGAGGGAGGGAGGGAGGGGGAGAAAGGAGGGAGGGAGAGAGGGAGGGAGGGGAGGGAGGAGGAGGATTGGTAGTCCCCAAACGTGGTGGTGACAACACCTGGCGGTGAGTCTCGGGCGATTTGGTGTCACCACCCGGTTTGGGGACTCGTGCGGTTTTCCGAGGATGTCCCGAACGTTAGTGGGTCCAGGAGTCACAAAACCCGGTGGTGACCCCGCGTCCCCAAACCCAGCGGTGACCTTTTTGGGGATTCCAGGTCGCCACCTGGTATCTCACCACCTGGTTTGGGGGTTCCCAAGAGGAGGAGGAGGAGGAGGAGGAGGAGGAGGAGGAGGAGGAGGAGGAGGAGGAGGAGGAGGAGGAGGAGGAGGAGGAGGAGCGCAGGTGGCGCCGAGGCCGCGTGGCGGGCCGCGCTGCGGGAACGCCTCGCGGAGCGGCGCCAGGGGCGCCAAATGAATTCAGGCGAATCTTCGCCAGGGGGCGTGCCGGGACGCGCTCCTCACGCGCCTGTCCTCCCTCCCTCCCTTTCCCAGCCTCGTCACAATGGCCATCGCTCGGACGTCCATTTCCTGTGTTTTTGTTGGTTTCGTGCGTGTTTTTTTTTTCGCCAACTAATCAAGGATAATCCTCGATGGTCCTCGCCGAAGGAAAAATGCACACGTCCGAGTGATGCCAGGCACAGGCAGGGCTTCGTCGCGCCTGTAGAGAAAGAGTGCGTGCACATTGAGGTCACGCTCCATGCCTCGCGCGCACGAGCCTGGGCCCTTCCCTGGGCACTGCGAGGCAGTGGCCCACATACTTGGCTGGCCGAGTGCCTGACCTTCGGGCTCTGATCTGCACTCGCTTGCCGTCCAGTGTCAATGGGAACGCCCCTCGGCGCCCATGGACCTACTTCCACCTTAGGTCTTGTCGACCTCATGTTCGCCGTATGTACTCGGTCGTACTGCTTGCCTTCACTCCGAGTGAATTACCTGAAAGCGGCTTGGTTGTTTGGCTTCCTAAAATCGGAATGGCCGTGAGACTCGTTCGGGATCTTGTTGGTGCGAATCTCCGCTGCTGCTTGATAGATAGCGGTATGGTTGCATTGGCGTCTGTGTTGTTGCAAATATCTTCGCTCACAAGGGGTCTGGGGGCCATCACTCATCCGTTTGGCAGGCGCGGGAGTTGAGGCATGTAACTGAGCAGAGTTGTCCTGCTTTTCCCACCTGCAAGGCACAACACGGCAACATGCAAGCACTGCATCGAAGCAGTGTATGGGATGTGGGAAGTATGGTTCGGCGTTGTTGGCTTCTAAGGCATTGCATCCGGCGCTTCGATTGACAATAGAAGATAAGTAAATTCTAGACTGTGGGAATCATCTGCAGGGCTGCTTAATTTAACATCTGATGCAACCAATTCCTCATCGTCTCGAAGTCGTTCAAGGGCACGTGCTGCAAGCTGTGTCCCTCATCGGTGACTGCATCAAGCCTCGCAACCCTGAACTCGCACTCGTAGAAACCGCTTGCGTTGCCGAGAAAACCCTGGATACGCATACTTGCCTTGATTCACCCCGCACCCAACTTGTTGTGCCAGCGGCTTGGCGGCCATGGCATAGTTGGCTTCCAAGAGCACTTGATAGCACCAAAACTCTCACATACAGCTCCCGAGAGGGCGAGTGCGCGCGGGAACCGCAGCAGGGAAGTAAGCGATCCAGCTGCTGGACGGCAACAAGCTCCGGCCGAAGTCAGACAACCTCGTGGGCCCTGAACACCCCACGATGGAGGAGAAGGAGGGAGGAGCCGGAGCTGGGGGGGCAAACAAGAGAGAGAATCTGGGAGGAGGGAGGGCGAGCGACCCCAAACGACCCGCTGTGACTGCAGTGGGGCAATCCGACGCGTCGGCTACACCTAGGAGTGACCCTAGGCAAGAATAGCCTCTGGTGCGTTGGGGGCCAGGGGGGGAGGACAACATCCAAGCGCTCAGGCCAGTGCTTGGGAACCCACTCGGAGATGCAGGAACCCGGGCCCTGTGGCGGGTCAGCCCAGGGAGGGCGGCAAAGAGGAACCGGCCCAACGTGGCTCCCAAACCCAGGCCAGCCCGAAGGGATTCATGTGAAGGGGCCCTGGAACACACAAATTAACAGACACACATAACAGGATTCCCCATATTTTCCATATTTTCTGGCTTTCTGTCTTCCCCCCCACTTCCCATATTTTCTCCCGCATTTTCCTCGGAGTCGAAGATTCTTAGTGTCTGTGTGTTTTGCTCCCTCCTGAATGCTCCTCGAGGGTCCTCGCCGAAGGAAGCATGCACACGTCCGAGCGATGCCAAGGGGGCGGAGCCGAGAGCCGCCCCGCGCGGCCGCCTCGGAGAGGGGCCGCCGCAGCGCCCCCGCCAAAAAGGCGCGCGCGCCGCAGCCGCAACGCCCAGGGGGCAGCGAGCTCTGAGTCGGGCCGGTCCCCCTGCAGGGGGATCTTGGACGCAGAGTAAAACCATTGTAAAACAACATACCCGAAAATACTCAAACCTGGTTTTTTCTATGAAAAACAATAATACCAATCAGTAATCAAGATTACTAATCAATAATCAATAGTAATAATACGAATGCTAATAATGCTAGCACTACTAAGAATAATACAAAAACATATCTATATCTATATCTATAACTATATCTATATAATTATAAATGTATATATGTAACCCAATACAAAAAATGTACCCTGACTATTTTTTGACTATGTTTGAAGATTCCTGCTCTCGAGGGGCACGCCCGACCTAACAAGCGAGCTCCGGAGGCCTCGGCAAGCGGCGGCTGCGGGCACAAGCTCGCGCCCCCCCCCCGGGCCCGCACGCGGGGGGCGAAAAGCGGCATAGACAGGGGGCCACCTGCGAACCCTACCCCTACCCCCCACGGTTTCTGAGGGGGAGGGTGGGGTTCACTTCGCTCGGGAGCTCCCGAACGACCCGAACCCCACCCTCCCCCTCAGAAATCGTGGGGGGTAGGGGTAGGGTTCGCAGGTGGCCCCCTAATAGACATGCACTCTTGGCGCTCCGCGCGGACTGCTAGGATCTGCTCTGGACCCCCCCTCCCTGGCGCGCTCCGCGCGCCAGGGAGGCGGCGCCCAAAGGGCCCTGCGCGACTTCCGAGGAATCCGCGCGCAGCGCTCAGGGTTTATGTTCGGTCTTCCTCCTTCTAGGATCGGGCGTTGGCAGAACTGAGTTCAAGAGGGACTCGGCTTCACGATGCGTGCGGGGGGGCGACCCCCCGCCCCGTTCCAGTAACCGGAACTGCCGTCACTCGAAAAAACGCCAACTACGGCGGACCTGGCTCAAAGATTCTGGCGGATGTAGGGGCTCTGGGGCCCTGCTACTAGCTGGGTCCCCTTACCTGGGGTCCTGGCTATACGCGGTAGAACATGCCCACACCTGGCGGTCTCCGCCTCCGCCCTCTA